TAGTGTGAATCTGGTCACTTGTAGACTGACTCCTATCCAAAATGAGGTAAGCTCAGTGTACCATGTTTTAGTGTGAATCTGGTCACTTGTAGACTGACTCCTATCCAAAATGAGGTAAGCTCAGTGTACCATGTTTTAGTGTGAATCTGGTCACTTGTAGACCGACTCCTATCCAAAATGAGGTAAGCTCAGTGTACCATCTTTTAATGTGAATCTGGTCACTTGTAGACCGACTCCTATCCAAAATGAGGTAAGCTCAGTGTATTCGAAATTTTTTTTTTATCATTTTGCTCCGTTTATTATCACCTGGCCTAAAATGTACGGGGGGGGGGGAGGATTGCAGTGACGTTGTCCGTCTTACACATTTACTTTCCATATGCTGTAATTAGAAGTCGTTTCAAACAGCATTATATTTAAACAAATTTCACAGGTCACTTCTCTTAGGGATGGGGAAGAACACTATTGATCTTAGGGCTAAAAAAAAAAAAAAATTGGTTTCTGTACATTGGAAAAAAACACTGTAAAATACCCGCATAAACACACCGGCTTGAGGTGAGTGTGAGAATCGGCCATTTTCCTAATCCTAATGGCTGTATGTATGTTTTTGTTTAACTGTTTCTGAGGTCGAAATCTTGTCATAGCAATAAGTCCCAATCGCTTTGAGATAAGTTTGTAAGGATATGAGAACAAGAACCTCACGGTTTCAAATGTCGACTGAAAATATGATAATATTTTACCAGGTAGAAATGAAACATTTTTTCCTGCTCATCTAGTGAATAAAAATGTAAGAAAAATATGACCCCCGGTAGCTCAGCGGTAAGTGTGCGGACTTATAACGCTAAAATTAGGGTTTAGATACCAGCTTATTGCGTAGCTTTGTGTTTAATAACAAACAGTTAACTGTATTTCTTGGTATGTTTGACACATATCGGAGTTTTATTTTATTTTGTATGATTCTGAATACATCTGTAGTACTTTTCGAATTTGTATTATTGTCAGGGCCGTACGAAGTAAGGTCAGTCAGGCCATGGCCTGACCACTTTTTCATGGCATGTATAGTCACAACTTATGTATTAATACTCATTTCTATTAATTCAATACATTACGTTGTGTGTATGCAGTATTTGTAGTTAAAATGGCTCAAGATTAAATATCATAGAATTAAATTGTCAAAAATTTTATGGGGGGCATACCCCCAGACTTCCCTAGAAATAGCAATGTAGCAATGGCCTGACCACTCCAAGATTACTTCCTACGGCAAGGGATTGTTATTTAAAGGTATACATGACAAATTTGGAAAATGGAAACGAGTTGTGGAAACGGTATAAAAATGAAGAAAAAAATACAGTCTTCAATAGTAGATATTGACATTTTAATTTACCGACTTACTGATACACCGTTTGCTTCCAGTGCAGTCAACGTATTGAGTAGTTTTACGTTTTTTACACGTTAGAACACTCATTATAAGTAATTGGTCAAAACAATACGTCGAAGTCACTCATTACCCACTTAAAATATAAATATGCATATAGGAAACTCTTGTAAGGAGTAGTGTGATTAATTGTAAGATTGTCGGTTGTTATTAGTTTGTTTGTTTTTGAATTTCGAGCAAAGCTACACGAGGGCAAATCTGCGCTAGCCGTCCCTAATTTAGCAGTGTAAGACTAGAGGGAAGGCAGCCAACTCTTGGGCTACTCTTTTTACCAACGAACAGTGGGGTTGACCGTCACCGGCTGAAAGGGCGAGCATGTTTGGTGTGACGGGAATTCGAACCCGCAGATTGCGAGTCGAGCGCCCTAACCACCTGGCCATGCCCGGCCGCATGTTATTAGGATTTACCCTGTAGCCAGCATAATCGTATATTTACAAGCATTTGAGGTAAAGTTTATAAAACATATTTTAGAAAGCCATATGGATGCCACACCGGTAATGCTACGGTTAATTATATCAACCAGTCAAATCAAAACATTTATACGAGTGCCTTTAAATGAGAGGGAATCCTCAATAGCCGCGGCTGCAATTAGATCTAAAATCGGTCAAGATATGGAGTTGTGAGCTAAAAGTTTGTTTGATTGTAATTAAGCGCAAAGCTACACAATGGGCTATCTGTGCCCTGCCCACCACGGGTATCGAAACCCGATTTTGTACTTGAAAAAAAACAACAACAAACAAACTCGGAGCTATTCTATGAGCCGCTATGCTGTGGACATAAAAATATGCTTTTGACGAAACGTTGTTTGCGAACCAAAGAATTTTGGCCCGTTCTTTGTTCTCTACGACATAAACCTTCACGGCCAAAATACTCTTCAAACTCGTAATTTCTTTATCACCACCACAACAAAATGACATAATTCTCCAGACAAATCGCACGACGGGAACCCCAAGCTGAACAAACATGAATAACGTACATGTTTGTTGAGTTAATAAAAAAAAAAAGTACGTTTCTTCCCTTGGTAAGTAGGGCTCTCGCGTTTAACGGTAAACGTTCGTTATTTACCGATGGACAGTGCAAGAAGACTCCTCAGAAATCAAACATGAAATTAAAACCCTTCTAAGGTGTTTGAAAATTGAACCCAAAACACGCGGCCAATTGTTGTCGTTCTATTAAGACGCGAATAATACGATGATTAGAAAAAAATAAATTTGTGGCCACCTCTAGCGGCTAAAATTAGCATTATTAATGAGAGTACGCGGATTATAATTAAAGTAATTTAGTGTCTGTAATTTTAATAATATTCTAGAAATCTAATGAAGTTTTCGAATTTAATAAGCGAATTTTACACTATAGATTACATAAAAAGATGTTTCAATGGCTTCACGTCCTCTACCCATACTGTTTTGTTTCCTTAGAGACGGTTTGCATACCGAAATTAAGACGATAACAAAAAAATAAAATAAAGACACAAATGTTAACAAAAAAACAACAACTTTATAATCACGGAGTTTCCAGGGGGGATATCACCCCGTAACCCTTCCCTTTTATGACGGCTTAACCTTCAAATCCTATTATTTATTTTCTACTAACTTGTAAGCATAAAATTAGGCCTAACATAACATAAGGATAATAGGTTATTTCTGTTCCTATTAGTGCTGTCAAGTTTATAGAGATATTTTATTTTGTAAAAATAAATGTTTAGATTAATTTTTTTTATGCACCGTATACCAAACGAACCAGTTTAGTAGGTTTTTGTTAGAGCATAGCGATAATGGGGCTATCAGCTGTGTCCACCGCGGGAAATCGAACCCCGTATTTTAGCGTTGTAAACTTACTCTATATCCCACCAGGGGATCCGGCTCAGTAATTCCCTCTCATGTGGTTACTTATTTCGAAAGCGACCTCTTTTGTTCAATATTTTAATGCATATTTTCTGTCAGATTTATCTATATTTTAGAGTTGTTAGATAAACAGACTGAATTTAATACAACGTTTTATTTTTATTAAATAACTTATTATGGAGAGTAACCATAAAAACTACAAAAACTTCCTTCGTGACCGAACATGCAAGGTCGTTTATTGTGTTAATCATAATTATATTCAATTGTTTTATACTGAAACACATTAGCTACATTCAGTTTTCATTTACAGTCAAGAGTTTGTTTGCCAGTTCGCTTTAGTCCAAAGCCACACACAATAGGCTATCTGCGCTCGTCCACCACGGTGAAT